TGCTAAGCCAGAAAAAAAATGGGTTGACCCTGGAACCGGCTCGCCCCACAAGCCATCTCTTCTCTTCCAAAGCTAGCTACTCCTCAAGATACTACTTCTCCCGGTATCCTGTCCCCAGGATCAGAAAACCCCTCTGGATTTGCAGCCTGCGTTCACCCAAAGAGGCGGAAGGACTCTTTACCTGTGTAGACAACGCCGTTGATTTCTATCGACATGTTGATGCTGCTAATGCCGTTGGTGGACAGGTTCAGTGCCGCCTCCTGTCTGTCATCTGGAAGGAAACAGGGAAGGGGAATGAGGAAGGCAGAGCAACGGAAGGGTTAGGGTCCCAAGTAAATAGACCCATAGCTGGCAAAACTCCGAGGCAGGTAGATTCCTCAAGGAATAGCGTTACTGGAAATATCATTGCTGTGGGTGTTGTTGTGGTTCGCCGGCAGCCGGGGCAGACCGCAGCGGAATCGGACAGTGGGGAAGAATGGGGACCAGTCAGGGAGTCTGGAGAGGACTCAGACAAGGGTCCTGCCTCCGATGCGGAGATGGGGCCAGGACCATTTGGGAGTGGGGTGCTGCCTCTGGAGCCTCCGGAGTCTGGCAGCAGCGAGGAAGAGGAACAAGGGGAGCCTGTTCCCAGTGCGCATGTGCACAGAGCTGCTGGAAGGCAAGAGCAGCTGAAACAAAAGGGGCGACTCGGGAGTGAGGCTGGGAGGTGATTGCCCCTCCCATAAGGGATAAAAGTCAGGCCAAGATGAGGAAACCTTTGCAGGAAGCAAAGTCATTCAATCATTTCGGATTAAACCTTGAAGCTCTGTGTGGACTTTGTGCTTCGGTTGGTTTTTTTTACAGTTCATTTGGCACTTTAGTTGTTGGCAGCAATTCAAAGGAGAGAAAGGTGGGTGCTTATCTCGAGGGACTGTTTGGGACTCATTACCAGCTGGGAATAAAAATAATTCCCAGCACTGAAGAAAAACAAGAGTTGTTTTAACTAAGCTTGTGCTTAATTATGGTTTGGGGAAGCCTTGGTTAGAACCGATGTGTTACTTGGAACCCTGACACCAGCTACTTTATTGATTACTGCCTATAATACAGGAATCTTCCCCAGGCCAGCCGGCTTTCACCTGGAAAAGATCAGATAAGGCTCAAAAGTATTTGGGAGGGTCAACCCTTGCCCTCTTTGTGTTTACGTAATGAGTCCAGGCGATGTCTCTGCTTGAACCTTCTGCCCAACTGGAATGGTTGCTCTCCAACCATCCCTGAATTAATTATTTTTTCCCACAGAGAGTGCAGAGAACTGGGGAATGGCGATCGGCCTGGTAGGAATAGATGTAGCCCGCCAGCGGCCAATGGAGCTGGAGGCAGAATCGGATAGTGAGGAGGTTGGGGAGGAACCTGGGCCAGTCCTGGAGTCTGGGGAAGGCTCGGACAAGGGCTTTGCGTCAGAGGCAGAGATGACGCCAGGGTCGTCTGACAGTTATCAGCTGCCTTCGGAGTCGGAGATCAGTGGGGAAGAAGAGCAGCTGGAGCCTGTTCCCAGTGTGCGCATGCACAGAGCTGCCAGGAGAAGGGAACAGTTAAAGAAGTAAAGGCTCAGGTGGATGGTGAATGGCCCCTCCCGTAGGGAATAAAGAGGAGCGAAAGGGGAGTGGGGTTTGCAGGAGACAATTAGTGGGTGAAGATCTGCTCCTGCATTCTTGCCGAGTATTGTCTGCTACAGTATGGCGTCTGAAAGATACTAGCCTAGCAACTCTCCAAGGTCTGTAATTGTGAACTACCTTGAAAGACTGTTGGCCGAGACTTTGCCGGGGAGGAATTCCCCGTAAACTAAATAAAAGGGGTTTATCGGGACGGGGGAGTCGGCTTCGTGCTGTTGGGGACGCTTAGGTGAGAACAATAGATTGCTCAGCCTCCCCCCCCCACCTACCCTTCCCAGGTGCCCTCGGGCCAATGCGGAACTCAACGGAGACCTTCTCCACCCCCCGAAACTGATGGATGAGGGAACCCACCTCCGCGGCTGTTGACCTTGATGTTGACCGGGAACTGGGAGGCCATGGCCAAGAGGTTCTGCTGAAGGGCCTGCTGGACCAGGCGCTGCTGCTCTTCGGCCACCAGCGCCATCTTCTTCTCTGGGGGCTCGCTGGTCTCCAGCTTCTCCCGCAACTGCTCCAGGGCGGCTGCCTGGGACGCAGCGGCCTGTGCTGCTACCAGGTGATGCCCAGCTAGGCTGACGGGGATGGCGATGCGGCTGGGCACCCCAGCAGACAGGAGGCTGTCTTCTGCAAGAGGGGAGGGGGAGGAAGAGGAGGAGGAGGAGGAGGAGTCAACAGAGGGCAATTAAAGGTGCAGGGACTCTCTAAGAACATCATGGCTATCTATATCTATCTATCTCATCTATCTATCTATCTATGGGATGGGCCGTTCCCAGATGTATCTATTATCTATCCATCTATCATCTAACTATCATCTATCCGTCAGTTCTATTTCCATTTATCAGCTGTCTGTCTGTCTATCTTTGTATCTATCTACTGTATCTATCTATCACAATTTATCTATCACATCTATCTATCTATCTATCTATCTATCTATCTATCTATCTATCTATCATCATTATCATCATATCGTCTTCTATCTGACCATTCTTCATCATCCTATACATCTATTCTCTCATCTATCATCTATCTTTTCTATCATTTATCTGTCTGTCTATAAGTATATACAGCATTATCTATCCTCTATCAATCATGTATTGATCTATTTGTATCTAGCTACTTATCTGTAGTTATCTATCTATCTACCTATCATCTATCTATCTATCTATTTATCTATCTATCTATCTATCTATCTATCATCTATCTATCTATCATCTATCTGTCTGTCTGTCTATCTATCTATCCATCCATCTATCATAATTTGGTTTGATTTCCTGTTTAAGCAAACCTCCAAACTCCCTTTCAACTCTATTATACTGTTATTTATCAATCAATCAATCATCTATTCATCTATCTACGCATCTCTATTTATGTACTACTGGTTTTCCCCCACCCCTCAATGCTGGTGGGAGTGGTCTTGGTGCTCCAATGTTTAGGCTGTTGTTTACTGACTTAGTAACCGACCAAGAATAGAGAGCAAAAACCCCTCCCTTCTAGCCCTGATGAAATTCCCTAGTTGGGTCATGAAACGTCTGCAAGGAAATCACCCAACTCAGAGGGCATCAGAGTTCACCCTGATTTACAAATATTCCCTTCTATCAATTAGTCTGTTGTGCTGAGAGAGAAAAAAAGGTTGAAAAATATGGGCCCTTCCCCAGATGTGTCGAACCACAGCTCCCATAAGCCACTACCCCAGCCAGCAAGCATGGGGGGGGGGGGCTGGTGCATCCAGAAAGGAGCAGACTATAGCTTTGGCGTTCCTCTGAAGGCTGCCAGGAAAAAAAAATGGGTTTGCAAAGGGATAAAGCCCAGACTGTCCTTTTCCAAGTTTCTTTCTTCTTTGTTGCATTCAGGGCCGAGCCTTTATCAAGGAACATCCTGAAATGCAATTAAAACAGATCAAAAACAGTCAATGCGGCTTTTTCTTCTCCTTGAGGTCCTTTCTTGAGGTTAGATTTAGTTTAGAAAGAAGTGATTTGATCCAGAAGGTTTTCACGCCAAATATTGGCCGCTGGAGGGAAAATCGGGACGGGTGAATCAAGAGATTTAAGACAAGACTTAATGGCCACTTGTTTAACGACGGTTCAAAGTTACAACACCACTGAAAAAGGGACCAATGATCCTTTTTCATGCTTAAGACCAGTGGGCCAGGGACCACTGGTGGTTCGTGAGAAAATTTTGGTGGTCCGCAGAGAAATATCCCCCCCAAAAGCAATTAATCCAGGCTGGGCAGGAACACAAGGCTGCGCCGCCCACATGGCCTGCGGGAACACAAGGCTTGCGTCGCTTGCATTGCAAACAACACGAGGTAGTGAGGGGAGGGGGGAAAGGGCAGAGGGGGGGGAACTTGCCCCACTCGCCCCACTTGCCTGGCCAGGCCACCGGGCTGCTTCTTTCCGCTTCTTCCTTCTTCTGTTTTTCGCTGCACGCAAGGAAAGCAGCCAAAGTCTTTCTTTCTCTCCCCCAAACTCTGCCAGAAATGAGTCTTTGGGACCCTGCAAGGCCTCCTGCTCCAAGAGGCTGCACCGACGTGACAAGCCTCACAAAGACTCACGTCTAGCGGAGTTTGGGGGAGAGAAAGAAAGACTTCTGCGGCTTCTGCTGCTTTCCTTGCATGAAGCCAAAAGTCTCTCTCTCTCTTCCTCTCCCCCTGAGAACGGAGCTGGAGACGGTATCCTGCGATCCCAAATAAAGAACGATCGATCGGTAGGAAAAGGGGGTGGGGGATTTTCCTGCAGACTTTTTGGGGGATTTTCCCAGGGTCTCTGGTCCGCGGGATTTAAAATTATTGGTTTGATGGTCCCTGAGGTCCAAAAGGTTGGCAACCCCTGCTTAAGATCACTGCAGCCTTGCCGCAGTCAAAATTTGGCCTCTTGGCAACTGACTCGTATTTATGACGGTTGCTGTGTTCCCCCGGAGTCATGTGATTCCCTTTTGCAACCTTCCAGCAAGCCAGTGGGGAAGCCACATTCACTTAACAACCGTGTGACTAACATGACAGCTGCAGAGATTTACTTAACAACAGTGGCAAGAAAGGTCATAAAAACAGGAGGGACTCGCTTAGCAACCGTCTCGCTTAGCCACAGGAACGTTGGGCCCAAAATTGTGGTCGATCAGAACGACCTTTACTCCAAAAAAGAGGGTCTCTTCCTGCAGAGGTTCAGCCCTTGCTCTGCCTTGGCCCACTCGCCCGGAGACCCTCTGTTAAGGTCTTGGGATATAAGAGCCAACCAGCAAGGAAGCTGATACAATAAGAATGAATCAGCATAGCATGGGTATTTCCCCTTTAAGACTGGGGATGGGTTCTGTCCCTTTAAGAGGTGTTTGTATAAAGGCAGCCATTAGAGGACTTGTTCTCTCTCCTTGTGTCCGGCATTCATTGCAGAAGTTCTCCATGTAGAGTTAAGAAGACAGATTGCTCGTAAGGTATTTTGCCTACCACATATATGTCTGTACTAGCTCGATACCCATGCTTCGCTACGAAACTATGTGGTCGGGTTTAGATTAGTTTTGGGGGAGGAAAATAAGGAAAACAAAATTCTGCCTCTGCCTACCAGCCTCCATCGGTATTCCTCTGGCTAGTGTCCTGTCAGGGTGTGAGGAAATTGAGGGCTGTTTGGAAACTGAAGCAGTATTTGCTGTGTGAGCAAGAAGGAGACAGCAAGGAGCCTGGGCGTGGCTTAGCTCAGTTGTTCTGTACTAAAGCTGCTCAGTGCTCTGAAACTAAAACTGAACCTCCTCTCCTCTGCTCATGTTTTACATTTGGAAGAGATTTTTTTCCAGGTTGGGAGGGGGGAGTAGAACTCCTTAGCATCAGAGCATGTTAATAATAATAATAATAATAATAATAATAATAATAATAATAATAATAATAATAATAATAATAATAATAATAATAATTAATAATATAGGAAATGCTCTAAATGCTGTGATGGTCATTTTGAAAAATCCTTTCTTAGTGAGCCCCTAGAAGCCAAGAGGAACATACGTGCCAAATTCCAAGTTTGTAGGCTTGACAGTTCTGGAGATTTTGTGATGATGCGTGAGGGGTATTTTGCTTTGATATATATAGAGATGTAACTGTTGTATATAAACCACTAGTTAAATGACTGAGTCTCTCTGTGTGCTGTGTTCTGCTCCTGGGTGGTTTAATATTGCAGGCACGCTGCGAACGCTCTGACATCCTCTCTCTCTCTCCCACCCACCCACCCCAAACCAGTCTGACCCCTCACCATTTTTGACGGTGCGGGCTTGTCCGATCTGGCTCCCGTTGTGGGTGGCGACGGTGAGGGAGGGCAGAGGGACCTTGGGGGACGCGAGGGTGGCCGGCGTGCCTGTCGGCGAGTAGCTGAACAGGGCGGCCCCGAACATCTGACGCCTCCCTTCCCGCCGGTTGCTGTCGATGGCGGCTTGCAACTCGCCGGGAGAGCTCAGGCACCGCTTGTCGCATTCGTAAGGATAGAGGTACTTCATGTACCTGCGGGGAGAAGCAGAGAGGTTGGCAGGGGCCACTTTCGATCGCCACGGCTGAGATGCTACATGGACATAGAACATAGGATCACAGGGACGGAAGGTGTTCCGACCCAGACCTTCCCAAGATCAGGAAGCCGACTCCTCGTCCCGATAAAACCGCTTTTATTTCAGTGAAAGGGAATTCCTCTCCAGCAAAGTCCCAGCAAACAAACTTTCATGAGATTCATTCACAACGATACACCTTGATTAGGCTTGGAGAGTTGCCAGGCCAATATCTTCCAAATGTCATGCTGTAGCAGCAAGGACTTGGCTAGAAGTCAGGAACAGATCTTCACCTTAATGAATTGAACTAATTGCCTCCTGCAAGAACCATTCCCCTTTCGCTCCTCTTTATTCTCTATGGGAGGGACCATTTACCATCCAACTGAGCCTTTACTCCCGAGTCGACCCTTGTTCCTTAGCTGTTCCCTTCTCCTGGCAGCTCTGCACATGCGCACACTGGGAACAGGCTCCAGCTGTTCTTCTTCCCCACTGATCTCCAACTCCGAAGGCAGCTTATAACTGTCGGACGGCCTGGCCCCATCTCTGCCTCCGACACAGAGCCCTCATCCGAGCCTCACCCAGACTCCAGGACTGGCCCTTGCTCCTCCTCAACCTCCTCCCCGTCCAAGTCTACCACCAGTTTCACTGGCCACTGGTGGGCCACAACAGAAGGGGTTTTGGAGGTCTTCTAGTCCAACCCCCTGCTCAAACAGGAGATCTTATATTATTACAAATGGCTGTCCCGTCTCCTGTTGGAAACCTCCAGTGATGGAGCACCTGGAGGTCTTCTATTCCAACCCCTGCTCAAGCAGGAGGCCCCATGCCATCTTGGGCAATGGCTATCCAATCTCTTCTTGAAAATCCCCAGTGATGGAGAACCCAAAACTACTAGTGGCAAGCCATTCCGCGGATTAATTCACAGAATAATAGAGGTGGAAGGGACTTTGGAGGTCTTCTAGTCCAGCCTCCCCACTGCTTATTCTGCAGAAAGGAGCAACAAATTAAGGGACGGGAGGCTAAAACATCCAAAGAACAGTTGCAGGAAATGGGGATGTCTAGTCTAATGAAAAGAAGGACTGCGGTTGGTCGCCACACTATAAAAAAGATGTTGAGGCTCTAGAAAGAGGGCAGAGAAGAGCAACCAGGATGATGAGGGGACTGGAGGCTCAAACATACCAAGAACTGTTGCAGGAACTGGGCCTGGCTAGTCTAGGGAAGAGACGGACCAGGGGAGACAAGAAAGCTGTCAGGGTTCCGGCAGTTATTCCAATTAAATCATGAGCCTTTGGCCACACTCCACTCTAAAGAGGATTTATTTGAAGGTAACATTCTCTGTCCGGCACTAACCTGGGCGTAGCCAACTCTGAGATGCGTAATTCATTGTCACCCTTGATCCTACTTTCCCTCCACCCCTCCGGGTGTATCATCCAATGAAAAATGTCCATAGCCCAGAGTCATCAATCATGCTCTCCAATTAGATATTTTCCCCAGCAGATGCTTCAGCCATCTAATCAGTCTTTGAAGAAAATATGAATGGAATGTACTTTCAATTCCACACTGCCGCTTGCTCTTTGAAAATCCCCCCCTTCTTTCTGTTGTCAACCATAAAACGTGTATACAAAATGTTTTATGAGTTGACAATAGCAGCATTCCAGTATTTGAGGGGCTGCCCCAGAGAGGAGAAAGGGGGTCAAGCTATTTTCTAAAGCTCCTGTAGGCCAGACAAGGAATCATGGATGGAAACTGAACAAGGAGAGATTCAACCTAGAAATAAGGAGGAATTTAATGACAGTGAGGACAATCAACCCATGAAACAGAAGTTGCCTTCAGAAGCTGTGGGAGCTTCATCATCGCTGAAGGCTTTCAAGAAGAGACTGGACAACCATAGTCCAAGATGGCATAGGGCTTCTTGCTTGAGCGGGGGTTGGACTAGAAGACCTCCAAGGTCCCTTCCAGAATCCTACGATTCTATGTTCCATGCCCATGTATAAAGAGATCCTCACTCTCCTCAGCCTTCAACACCTCCGCTTTTGTTTCCTGCAAGGCCCAATCCTGAGCCAACATGTCTAAAGCGTGTTCCACCGCGTACCACAGACCCTGCATCCCGGCCGCCGTGACTCACTGTGTGCGGAGCGTGAAGGCCGCGCTGGTGATGGAGGTGGGCAAATTCAAGCCTTTGGTGATCTCCCGCCAGATCTTCTTGTTGATCACCTCCACCAGGCCTCCTTTCTCAGTCACCAGCCGATAGAGCGAGTAGAGATCCAGCACTTGCTTGGCCATGATGGGGATCCGGTTCACGGGGGTCCCTGGGAGGGAGGGAAGGAGAAAAATGGGCACCACACAGGAAAGGGTTTAAACAAGAAGCAGCAGAGATGGCGTTCAGCCAGTTCGGACCGGTTCTGAAGAACCTGACTGGCACCCAACCCTCTCTATTCTGCGTCTCCCATTGAATCCCAGTTGATTGGCTGGGTCTCCTTTGGTTGCCCTGCACAGGAGAACGGAGCTGGAAAGCAGGTTAGTGGGGTGGGGAGGGAAGGAGGATTTTGCAGTATTCTTCCCCTGCCACGCCCACAAAGCCACCAAGCCACGCCCACAGAACACCACACCCACCAAGGCACTCCCACAGTTGGGTCTCATTTGGTTGCCCTGCACAGAAGAGCGGAGCTGGAAAGCAGGTTAGGGGGGTGGGGAGGGAATGGGGATTTTGCAGTATCCTTCCCCTGCCACGCCCACCAAGCCATGCCACACCCATAGAACCGGTAGTAAAAAAAAATTGAACCCACCACTAAGAAGCAGCCACCCAAATCAATGTTTCTCACCTTGGCTGCTTGAAGATGGGAGGACTTCAAGTCCCAAAATTCCCCAGCAGGCCATGATTTGTGCTGATTTGTTTTTCAAATGCTCGGTATTTTTTTTTTCTAATTAAAAAAAAAAGTCAGCCACACCCCACCCCCAGCGCTGCAATGTTGTGTAAATGTATTGTTTTTAACATATTGCAATTGTTTGCACTGTAATATATTGTGTGAATGGCAAGCCACCCAGAGTCATTGGTTGGAATGGGAGAAAGAAAAGAAAAGAAAAGAAAAGAAAAGAAAAGAAGGAAGGAAGGAAGGAAGGAAGGAAGGAAGGAAGGAAGGAAGGAGGGAAGGAAGGATAAGAAAGAAAGAAAGAAAGAAAGAAAGAAAGAAAGAAAGAAAGAAAGAAAGAAAGAAAGAAAGAAAGAAAGAAAGAAAGAAAGAAAGAAAGGAGGGAGGGAGAGAAAGAAAGGAGAGAAAGTAAGAGGGAGGGAGGGAAAGAAAGTGAAAGAAAGGGAGGGAGGGACAGAAAGAAAAAGAAAGATGGATGAAGTGAGGGAGTGAGAGAGAAGGAAGAAAAAAGAAGAAAAGAAAAAGAAAGAGGGAGGTAAATAGAGAGAAAGAAGGAAGAAAGAAAGAAAAAGAAAGAAGGAGGAAGGGATGGAGGGAGAGAGATAAGGAAGGAAGAGAAAGGAAGGAAGGAAGGAAGAAGGAAACAGAAAAGAGAGAGAGAAGGAAAGAAAAAGGAAGATAGATAGAAAGTAAGATGGAAAGAAAGAAAGAAAGAAAGAAAGAAAGAAAGAAAGAAAGAAAGAAAGAAAGAAAGAAAGAAAGAAAGAAAGAAAGAAAGAAAGAAAGAAAGAAAATGCACGGCTTCTTAGTTGAGGGGCACAAACTTAGAAAAAGGAAACTAAAGGAGAAAAGGTGTCACTCATATTGTTTGAAATGAGGGGTCCTTGGTGGTTTTCTGGCTGACATTTCCTGCCTAGCCCTGATGCTGTTCCCTAGTTGGGTCACGAAACATCAGCCAGGAAACCACCAAGCTCTGACACCACCACCGAGGACCCCTCCAAAGCCAAAACGCTTGGCACCCATTGGTTCCCCCTCCAGCCTGGCAAGCGGAACCCCAGAGGAACCTCGCTCCTTCCAGCCAGAGAGGCAGCAGGTGCCGAAGACCACCTGCTTCTCCCCCACGGGAGACCCCCAGAGGCTCTTCATTAGCCCTAGATGTGCGGTGAAAATCTGTCGATGCCAGAAGGTTATTGGAATTGATTTCAGTTTAGCGGCTGATCCAAGGTGGCCAGCCAAGACTTGCATGCTGGGAGGGGCAGGGGCCGAGTGGGGTGCTGTGGGGTGCCAAGGGGGCTTGACCTCTGGGGAGAGGGGGGCTCTGGGCAGGAGAGAGCCCACCACCACGCCTCAGCGATTCAGCCGAAGGTTCAAGATCTGACCAGGCAAGACCCCAACTTGACTTGGGGGGACGCCCCCTTTCCACAAAGGAGGAGAGCAGCAACCAAAACAGGGTGTGAAATCTGCCCCCCTCCCCGGGTTTTTATCCCTGCATTTTATTTATTTATTTTATTTATTTGATTTATTTGATTTGCCAATTGTTTACAAGATAATAAGTATAAGTGTATACATAGTTGTGAATATATGAAATGGGTACATATAAGAAAAATAAAAGAAGAATAAGAGAAACAATAGGACAGGGACGGTAGGCACGATGGTGCGCTTATGCACGCCCCCTACAGGCCTCTTAGGAAAGGGGTGAGGTTAATAGTAGACAGGCTAAGGTTAAAGTTTTTGGGGTTTGGGGAAGAAACCACAGAGTCAGGTAGAGGATTCCAGACATTGACCCCTCTGTGGCTGAAGTCGTATTTCCTGCAATCAAGTTTGGTGCGGTTAACTTTGAGTTTGTATCTATTGTGTGCTCTTGTGTTGTTATGGTTGAAGCTGAAGTATTCATTGACAGGTAGGACATTGCAATGTATGATTTTATATACCATGCTTAAGTCAGACCGAAGACGGCGTAATTCAATGTTTTCTAGGTCTAGAATTTCGAGTCTGGTGGCATAAGGTCTTCTGCAACGAGTAGAGGAGTGGAGAACTCTTCTTGTGAAATATTTCTGGACTTTCTCAATTGTGCTAATATCAGATACGTAATGTGGGTTCCAGACTGATGAACTGTATTCGAGTATTGGTCTAGCAAATGTTTTGTATGCTCTGGTTAGTAGTGTGATATTACCAGAGAAAAAGCTACGTAGGATTAGGTTAACAACTCTTAATGCCTTTTTGGCTATGTAGTTGCAGTGGGCTCTAGCACTTAGATCATTAGAGGTGAGTATTCCAAGGTCCTTTACAGAGCTTGAGTCATCAACATTCTGGACCCCTCATCTGTTCTGACTTCCCCCCAAAGCCCAAAGCGGACTCTTTGTCCCGGCAAAACCCCTTTTATTCAGCGAAGGTGAATTTCTTGCATCCACATTCAGCCAAAAGCCTGGCAAACAGTCTTCCAAGGGTGTAATGAGGAGCACAGCCCTGATCTAGCCTGGAGAGCTGCCAAGTAACTATTTCCAAACCCAGTGCTGACAAGGAAGGACTCAGCACGAGTCTCTGAGATGCACAGGCAGACCTTCACAGATGCTGCAATGAATGAATTGTTTCCTGCAAAAGCCCCCTCCCCTTTTGCACCTCTTTTATTCCCTAGGGGAGGGGCCATTCACCATCCACCTGGGCCTTTACTCCCAAGTCAGCCCTTGTTCCTTAACTGTTCCCTTCTCCTGGCAGCTCTGTGCATGCGCACACTGGGAACAGGCTCCAGCTGTTCTTCTTCCCCACTGATCTCTGATTCTGAAGGCAAGTGATAACTGTCAGACGGCCCTGGCCCTGTCTCTGCCTCCGACGCAGAGTCCTGATCCGAGCCTTCCCCAGACTCCAGAACTGGCCCATGTTCCTCCCCAACCTCCTCACTGTCCGAGTCTGCCACCAGCTCCGATGGCCACTGGTGCGCCACAACACCGTCGACCACCGAGGCAGAAACAGATACTCATCAAGTTATGGCCACAATTGACCCCCTCATGTCCGTTGCCCCATTTTACAACCCTTCCTGCCCATCGTTGTTCAGCGAACCTCCAAGTTGTTAAAACCAATTGTGCTGACATTAAGTGAATCTGGCCAATCCCACTGACTTCGCTTCCCAGAGGTCGGCTGCGACTCGTTAAAAATGCCGATCAGGTGACACACACACACACACACACACACACACTGAGGATACTGCAACCGTCATCAATACGAGTCAGTTGCCAAGCGGCCGAATTTTGATCATGGGGGGGGGGGGGGGGGGGTGCTGCAATGGTAAAAAAAGTGACCGTAAGTCACTTTTTTCAGTGCTGTTGTAATTTTGAACAGTTACTAAAGGAACGGTTGTAAGTTAGAGCATAGAATAAAAGAATTGGAAGGGACCTTGGAGGTCTTCTAGTCCAGTCCACTGCTTAACCAGGAAACCCTATACCATTTCAGGCAAATGGCTGTCCGATCTCAAAAACCTCCAGTGATGAAGCAGCCACAACTTCTGGTGGCCAGCAGTTCCGCTGGTTAATTGTTCTCACTGTTAAGAAGTTTCTCCTTAGTTCCAGGCTGGATCTCCCTCTGCGGAGTTTCCATACATTAAATAAGAGAATAACAGCACGGGAAGGGACCTTGGAGGTCTTCTAGTCCAACCCCCTGCTCAAGCAGGAGACCCTACCTATACCATTTCAGATAAATGGCTGTCCGATCTCTTCTTTAAAATCTGCAAGGTTGAAGCACCTGCCACTTCGGGTGGCAAGCAGTTCCGCCGGTTAATTATTCTCACTGTCAGGACGTATCTCCTTAGTTCTAGGTTGCTTCTCTCCTTCATTGCTTAATTAGTGTCCATCCATTGTTTCCGGTCTTGCCTTTAGGGGCTTTGGACAATAAGTTGACTCTTTCCTCTTTGTAGGAGCCCCTCCAATTGAGGGCTCCCTGTATCCCCATTCTACATTCCCATCCTTTGGGCCTACAGATAATCGATCCCTCAGGCCTGTTCAACAAATTACTAGAGGGAAACTGGGATGGGAGGAGGAGATACGATCTCCAGCCACATAGGGTTGGGCAAGGAAGCCTCCCCAGGCCAGAGAGCTTCGGATAGAACCACCCATAGCTTGTTTCTCTTTAGCCAAAGCTGCCTACAAATCAAGCTGCACTTGTATTTATTGATGTCAATTTACATGCTTCCCATCCCATTGTTGCACATGGAGGGAAGGAGACAGAGGGAGATCCAGTTTTTGGTCACCACACTATAAAAAAGAGGTTGAGACTCTAGAAAAAGCACAGAGAAGAGCAGCCAGGATGATGAGGGGACTGGAGGCTGAAAGATACGAAGAACGGTTGCAGGACCTGGGCCTGGCTAGTCTAGGGAAGAGAAGGACCAGGGGAGACAGGATAATAGTCTTCCAATGTTTGAGGGGCTGCCCCAGAGAGGAGGAAGGGGTCAAGCTATTCTCCAAGGCACCCGAAGGCCAGACAAGGAACAATGGATGGAAACTGAAGTAGGAGAGAGATTCAACCTGAAAACAAGGAGGAATTTTTTGACAGTGAGAACAATTAATCAGTGGAACAGAAGTTGCCTTCAGAAGTTGTGGGAGCTTCATCCCTGGAGGTTTTTAAGAAGAGACCAGACTGCCCATCTGTTAGAAATGGTGTAGGAGCTCCTACTTGGGCAGGGGGTTGGACTAGATGACCTGCAAGATCCCTTCCAACTCTGTTAATCTGTTATCTGTTATCACAATGATCAGAATATACCCAGCTAGGAAGCTGTGATAGCATCTTCCAATATCTATGGGGCTTTTATAGAGAACAGGGAGTCATTCTCTAAAGGAAGCAGCACCAGGAGCAATGGATGGAGACTAATCAAGGAGAGAATCAACCAAGAAGTAAGGAAAAATTTCCAAGATCACATGAAGTGTTCATACCACTCTATAAAGCCTTAGTAAGGCCACACCGAGAGTCCTGCATCCAGTTTTGGTCACCACATGATGAAAAAGATGTTGAGACTCTAGA